TTCAAAAATTATCTTGGAATTTTTAGTTTTAGAATACTAGCACATCAAAATCCTGCTTTACACAATTCATAAAAATTCAACTCCAACAATTAATACACTCTAATCAAAAAACACTTTAGAATTATGCTAATCCTAGAAGCTACATGTTGCCAAATCAAAAATAAAATGCTGGATGTAGGATACCTTCCCTCAAGTTGTTCACAGATGTCTCAAAGACCTCCAAAGTAATACAGACTATAGCCATTGATCTTTTTTCTTTTTTTTTTCTTTTGTTTTTCCAGACAGGGTCCCACTGTGTATGTAGCTCTGGCTGTCCTGGAACTTGCTCTATAGACCAGGCTGGCCTCGAACTCACGGAGAAGGCATTGATCTTGATTACCCTCCATAACTTGGTAGTGAGATTCTGTGGCTGAAGATACAACACACTTTTTTCACAGGATATGGAAACACTGGGGTTGTAGTGACTGAAAATCTTCCTCCCTACTGGCTAGATTTCACAGTACTAGAAGGTATCCTATGGGCTGCTGGGGGGGCGGGATTCATCAACAATCTTACCCAGCTGTGAAGCCAGCAGAGCTACAATAACAACCAACATGGCAAGACATGCCCAGGGGTACAATACTGACAAAATGTTGCATAACTACTTTCTGATTAGATTTAAGACATGCTTCCTCTGCTTTTTCCCCTCGGGAGGAAACACGTGCCTAGTACTGTAAATCTACCCCAAGAACCCATGGCTGGGGAGCTCATGGGCTCAAGAGGTGAACCTACTACTACTAATTTGCTAAATGGACACAGTATCAAGTGCTTTATAAATTTGTATCTCTGTGGCCATAGAATAGCACAGCTCTCAGACCTTATCAGAAGAGGCTTCTTTGTGTAGTGGATGGCAGTTAACACAAAAATTCAGAACTGATCAAAGTGCAGAGAATAAGTGGCCTGTGGAGTGCTCAGCCACAAATGAGACACTTGCATTACAACCCTTTTCCTGGAGGCCAAGGAACCATTGTGTAAGAGGTGGGGGAGGTTGTAAGAGCCAGAACTCCCTTTCCCCTTCTCTGGAGGACCGTGTATGTCTCTCTTAGGGTCCTCTTTGTTTCCCAGCTTCTTTGGTGGTGTGGATTGTAGGCTGGTAATCCTTTGCTCTATGTCTAAAATCCATATATAAGTGAGTTTGTCTTTCTGTGCCTGGGATACCTCAATCAGGATGGTTTCTTCTAGTGCCATCCATTTGCCTGAGAATTTCAAGAAAGACCTCCTGAGCAAATTGGGAGGACAGGGGGAGGAGAAAGGGTGGGAGGAGAAAGAGGACGGGAGAAGGGGAAGGGGAAGAGAACATGAGGGATCAGGAAGATCGAGTCCCAGGATGAATAGAGGAGAGCAAGAAGAGATACCTTAATAGAGGGAGTCATTGTAGGTTTAAAGAGAAATCTGGCACTAGGGAAATGTCCAGGGATCCACAAGGATGACCCCAACTAACAATCTAAGCAATAGTGGAGAGGCTACCTTAAATGCCCTTCCCTATAATGAGACTGATAACTACCTTAAATGCCATCCTAGAGCCTTCACCCAATAGCTGATGGAAGCAGAAGCAGAGATTCACAGCTAAGCAGTGAGCTGAACTCCTGGAATTCAGTTGTATAGAGGACGAAGTGATGAGCAAAGGGGCCAAGACCATGCTGGGGGAACCCACAGAAACAGCTGATCTGACCAAGTGGGAGCTCATGGACCCCAGTCTGACAGCAGGGGAACCAGCATAGGACCAAACCAGGCCTCCTGAACGTGGGTGTCAGTTAGAAGGCCTGGGCAGTCTATGGGACCTCTGGCAGTGGAACCAGTATTTATCCCTAGTGAACGAATGGACTTTGGGAGCCTATTCCCTATGGAAGGATACTCTCTCAGCCTAGATACATGGGGGAGGGCCTAGGCCCTGCCCCAAATGATATGATAGACTTTGATGATCCCTCCCTGGGGAGTGAGTGGATGGGGTGTAGGATGGGGGGTAGGTGGGGGGCATGGGAGAATGGGAGGGAGAAGGAACTGGGATTGATATGTAAAATAGGATTCTTTCTAATATAAATACAATTTTATAAAGAAAGAGCAAGAAGTCAGAGAAGATGGGGTGACCATGAGTCTATGGGGCACTCAAATTGGACTCAGTGGGCTATAAAAGAAACTAAAGAATATACGAAGTTTGGAGGGAATTCGGGGGTGGTGCAATATATCTGGGAAGAGTTGGAGGAAAATAAGAGGTGAATGTGATAAAAAAAATACCTTGAATGCATGTATGAAGCTCTAATGCATGATGTGAAATCCACAAAGCATCAACAAAAGTAAAAAAATTAATAAAAACATTGTATTAGAAACCTCTTTGACAGTGCTCAGCTGCTAAGGGTGACCACTGCTGGGCCTGATGACCACAGTTCAATCCCTAAATCTTACTTTGTGTAATGCTAGAACTCAGACTTTTTTTTTTGGGGGGGTCCGAGACAGGGTTTCTCTGTGTAGCTTTGGAACCTGTCCTGGCACTCGCTCTGGAGACCAGGCTGGTCTCGAACTCACAGAGATCTGCCTGCCTCTGCCTTTGCCTCTGCCTCTGCCTCTGCCTCTGCCTCTGCCTCCCGAGTGCTGGGATTAAAGTTGTGCATCACCACTACTGTCCGGCTAGAACTCACACTTTCAAACCGTCCTCTGACCTCTACATAAACACGGTGGCATATGTAATTATAAAAAAAGAAAAGAGATGAATCCAAAACATAATTGTGAAAGGCAAAAACCATGACGTCTTAGAAGAAAATATATGAGACTATCCTGACATCTGTGTAATAATGGATTGCTAAAAAATAAGTCACAAAATATAGAAATCATAAAGAAAAAGACTGAGAATCAGAGCGCATAATACTTAAGAATTTCCATTTATTGGAAAACACTAGCAAGACTATGAAGATAGGGTTGAGAAGACAGCCAAGTGGGTAAATTGCTTGTTGTACAGGCATGAAAAACCTGTTCAGATTGCCATCCCCCGTGTAAAAGCCTGTGTGGTGGGGCTGTCTGCAATCTTCAAGCCTGGTGTGCCCAGACAGTGGAACTTCTGGGGCTTGTTAGCCATTCACTCCAGCTAAAACACAAACTTCAGGTTAATGAGAAACCAGTCTCAAAAAATCAACTGCAGCATGACAATAAAACACTTGACATTGCCCCATTATGGCTTCTACTGCAGACATGGGCACTTATACTTGCACACTCACATATATCACTCACATTTTAAAAAAGAAAATAAAATGTAAAGCTGCAGCTATAACCAATAAAAGAACTCTAAAATGTATAAGCAGTGGGAAAATAAGCTAATGGGAATATAGATTTTTAAAAAATCCTAGAAACTAGAGTAAGCACTTATCAAAAGTGAAAATGTAAGTGCTAACAGTTGAATTGAAAGATGCTTAGTTTAATAATCTTAAAAGTTCATGTGGAGGAAGTGGAACTCTTCTGCAAAGCTCATCGAAGCAGACAGTTATGTGAATGCTTTAGAACAGCTGGGCTTGAAAGACATTTGTAAATCTCAGGATCCTGGAATTCCACTCCCAGGCACAAACCTTAGACAAAATGCGGCATATTTGTGGTTCTCCATTAACACTGTCCAACCATCACTCCAGGGACAGTGGAATGAAGAAACGGATTCACACAGTGTAACTGAATTGCAACTAATATGCCAACATGTGTGACTCTCGGAGGAAAAGGTGTTAAAGAAAGCAAAACACAGAAGCATGCAATGCATACATACAGCTGTGTTTCACAAAAGTTCAAAATAAGAAAAATCGGAATGGAAATAGCTGAGGAGTTTGTCATGAAAAAAAATATATAAAGAAAAAGGGGAATTAGTGCCTCACATCTCGGGTTGCATGTGGTGAAGGAGAGAAAAGAGACATGACTAAAGAGGAACACCCTTGGAGCTTTAAGATACTCAGTAAAATTGTTCTGGGTTTTTTAACCAGGGAGTCAGAACTTAGGTATTAATTCCTTACGATTATTCTGTAATTTACACACACACACACACACACACACACACATGCACACATGCATGCATGCACACACACACACACACCTACTCTGTGTACTCTAGTGTGTATATCTCAGTATTTTAGAAAGGAACAGTTTTGGTACCCAGAGCACAACACTGAACTCTAGCATACCATACTAGAGGGCAGTCACCTCCCTACTTCTGAAAGCTCCATATGTTTTAAATAAAGCACCAGTTTCATCTTCTTATTTGTCCTCCCAGCCAGTCAAGTTCTCCTCAGCACAGTTATTATACCCATCTGTCTAGAATCTTCCTGCAGGAAAACTGGTCTACTGAAATTTCTGAGTTAGCCGAACTGTGGTCTAGATGGCCACTGCTGCCATGGTATAGCTTCTGGCCGGTCAGCTCCAAAGAGCTTCCTTGGACTGGGAATGCATTTCAGTTTGATAGAGCATTTGCCTAATGTGGAAGAAGTTCTGTTCTTGACCCCCAATTGCATAAAGTAGGTGTGGGGGTGCACTCCTATAATCCCAGGAGGCAAAGAAGATCAGAGTCCAAAGTTATCCCCATCTGTACTGTATGATTAAGGCCAACTTGGCTACATGAGACCTGTCTCGAAACAAACTAGAAACTTCCTTAAAACACACGCTTCCCCATCTGCTTCTCTTTGGTTGATCTGTGTATAGTCTCAGCCTAATTATGTTTCACATGAAAAATTTAAACAAATGTCTTATCAAGAAAAGTGGTGCTTTATGAAATCACTTTGTTTAAAATTATCAGAGAGACTATTTTGACATAAGAAGACTGCTATTTCCTGAAAGGGCGAAAAACCTCATCAGGGAAAACCCCTGTGGTTGTCATAGGCAGGGCTTGTCTACCTTAGCTGATAACAGTTCCGTCTAGAAGAGGAAGGCAGGATTCAGTTTGGGAAGCTCTGTGAGTAGGTGTGCATTTTGGCATCCTACAGACTCCTAGACCTTGATCTGGACAGAAGGAAGTCTTTATCAAGAGGGACCTCTCCAGAATCCACATTGCTCCCATTGAGGCTCCAAACCTCCACTTGACAATGGGAAACTGGCTGGCTAACCACTGGCTTTCAGTTTTATTTCTGGTAAGTGGTATTTCATTTCCTAGTCATTAGGAATTTTAGCAGAGGAAGAAGACATCATGTTTGTTAATATTTGTGAAGTTATGCAAAAGAGAACGCATCTATAGCAATTATTTGGCTTGTCAAAGCCAGTTATCATTTAGAAAAAGCCAACTCTAGGCCAGAGAAAAGAACAAAGCCAAATGATTTGCAGTTGTTCATGTTTCCAAACCATGAGGACTCGCAGTTGAAATTTGTTTCCATTTTTTTTTTCTCTTTTCTCTTCTGTCTTATTTCCAACTGTTGACATGGAGTCTTCATTTCTCTCTTCTTTATATTGCTGCCATTAAGATTTCATAAAATAATTGACTGGTTGAGATGAAAATGATCTTGTAGATCATCTTGACCCAGCAATGCTCAATACAAATGTATTATGAGTCACTTGAGGACTTTCTAAATTATCTCATACTTGTGCTGAAAAGAATAAAAAGAAACGGAGATTTGAGCAATGTAATTCATGGGCATTCTTAAAGCATGTAATTAATATAGACAATATCAATATACTTTCTATTGTTTTGGAAGAACATTGTGTATTTTACATGCACAGCACATCTCAGTCAGAATTAGTCACACTTCAAGTGTTTCATAGCTACTTGCCGATGTCTAGCTACTGCATTACACAGAGCACATATAAAATAATCTCCCAAGTTTTATGAAGGAAATTCATGTAGACTGCACCCAGTGAATTGGCAAAGTACGACTCAAACCCAGTTCACTGGTATTCAGGCTAGAACTTTTTCACCATTCCACCTATATGTAATCCCTTTCTAC